ATCTGGACTATAGACTGTAGTCAAGATTATAGACTGGAGTATAGTCTAGACTCTTGTGTGGCAAATAGTCTAGTCTATAGTGATGGACTTTACTCTAGTATTAGTCTAATCTATAGTGTGGACTATAATATAGTCCATAGTGTGAACTATAGTCAACTTTATAGTTTGGACTATAATCTAGCCTACGGTCTGGGATATAGTCTAGTCTATAGTGTGGAGTATAGTCTAGTTTAGAGTATGGTCTATAGTCTGGACCACGGTATAGCCTATAGTCCGGACTATAGTCTAGTCTACTCTATAGTATGTAATATCGACTATTCTAGACTATAGTCTAGTTTAGAGTCTGAACTATAGTCTAGTCTAGATTCTGGACCATAGTATAGCCTATAGTCTGCAATATAGTCTAATCTATATTTTGGACTATAGTCTAGTATAGAGTCTGGACTATAGTCTTGTCTAGAGTCTGGACCATAGTATAGCCCATAGTCTGGACTATAGTCAAGTTTATAATCTGGACTGTACTCAAGATTATAGTCTGAACTATAGTCAAGATTATAGTCTTGACTGTAGTCTAGACTCTTGTGTGGAAAATATTCTAATTTATAGTGATGGACTTAATTCTAGTATATAGTCTGGACTATATAGTCCATAGTGTGAACTAAAATCAACTCTATAGACTGGACTATAATCTAGTCTACAGTCTGGAATATAGTATTGTCTATAATCTGGACTATAGTATTGTCTATAGTCTGGACTATAGTCTAGTCTAGAGTCTGGACCATTTATAGCCTATAGTCTGGACTATAATATAGTCTATAGTCTTCCAACTCAAATTTTAACTTAAAGAGTGCACAAAGATGGTTACTGCAGTTAAGAAAATTTTGGAAAGTCTAGCCGTTATCCCATAATCGAATTACTTGAAGAAAAGCGACTAAAAATCTTAAAAGACCAGTAAGGATATCTCTTTGTTGATCATTAGGAAGATTTATCGTTAGTATGCTTTTCTAACGATCTAAAGGAGTTGCCACTTGTTGATATTATAACCAGAAGGTTTAAATTCCTAAATCAAAAAAGAATCACAAAAAATTAAAATCAAATTAAGCAATTAGCTTATTATCTAACTTAGTATCTAAGATGTTTGAGAAGCTATTGATGTACAAATTTAAACCCATTTTTAATGTATTCCATATAATTTTAATATCCCATTTAAAGCTATTTTTGTGCATGATAATAGATTTTTAATTAGTTTAAATATGTAGTTGCTATTACATTCAATAAAGTACCTTTATGGTACTGCTGTTACTTAAAGGGTTATGTATAAAAATTATTTCTGATTAACGCCTTCATATATGCAATACTATCTATGTATTTATTTAAAATTTTATTAAAAAAAAGTTTTTAAAAGCTTTTAATATCAACATGATCATTTTGTTTTATTTACAGATCAGTTAGCAATGGTGCCTAAAAAATGGTAAGTTATTTAAAGTTGTTTGTTTGACAAGTTTTGAAAATTTAAATTTAGTTATAATATAGTAAATTTCCGTTTCCGTTTAATAAAATAGATAAAAATTAAAAAAAAGCTCAATTTGCCTTAGAGCAGAAGCTTTTCATAGTTGATATACTTACGTATAATACAGAAGAAGATTTTTAAGTTAAGAGTTTTTTTTTGGAATATTTTGACCAAAAAAATTAAATTTTTGTTAGAAAAACTTTCGGTAGAAAGAGTTCTTACTAGAAAATCTTGTTTTGTTGGCATGTAGTTTTTTCATCATAGGGATTTTACGGAAGGATTATTTTGGTAAATCATGGTACCCTTACAGTAGTTATATACACATCAAAATTCTACTCTGGTATCAACCCAGTACACAGTGCCACATTTAGTAAATTCTTGTACGACAAAAGTCTAATTATAGCAGTATATACTTCATATTCAGTTTGTATTCACAATAAGAATTATGACCACGCCCACTTCATATATTAATGCTAGTTTTGGTATTCTTGAGTACGAACGAAAGCAATAACTTGAAAAAAATCCAAACTGAATCAAGCCTTATAAGATCAAAATGATTTAAATAAGTAGGCGTAGTTGTAATACGGACACGCCTACTTTTTATATAGAAATTTAAAAATGCGAATCAATTTTACAAAGTACTTTTAAAATGTATTACAATTTATACAATAATCAGATATAATTTTTATGATAACCATGCCCACAACCAAATATTCCACCCACTTTTCCCTATTATTTTGTTAATAATTTATTACAACTTTAGTGACAATAGTTGATTATTTTAAGCATTGTAGTATATGTTTCAAAATTTTAAATGTGGGCATGGTCAATATAAATATTTTTATTAAATATATAAAGCTTAATACTAATTTTAATAATATTTTGTTTAAATTTGTTTTAAACAAAACACGTAAATTAAAACCAGCAAATAAAGTGGGCGTGCTCATGTTATTACCGCCCATATTTTTTGTAGGATTATAACTATTAATAACTATCAATTTTAAAGATATTTAATCGATAAAGGCTAAAAATGTGTCTCTTTTAGATGATTGTACTAAGAGCTCGAAAATTTTAGGGGTCGCAAAAGTTAGCTTTTGAACTTTATACTACAGACATTAACTAATGCACCTTATATAGTCCGTCGTTTTAGAACTTATTCATTTCTATATACATACATCATAGATAAATAGAAAAAATAAATTTTGAAAGTGGATCTTTAGAGTCACATTTCTCTATGATCAAATATTTTATCGTATTTCTTTCGATGCTTCCATGCTTTGGCAGTCTTTGGTCACATATATATAAAAATAGCGAAAATTAAGAAATTTTTTATACCCTCCACCACCATCAGTGGTGATAGAGGGTATATATAACTTTGTCATTCCGTGTGTAACACCAAGAAATATTCATCTGAGACCCAGCAAAGTATATATATTCTGGGTCCTTATCAAATTCTGAGTCGATTTAGCTATGTCCCTCTGTCCGTCTGTCTGTGTAAAACACGATCACAATAAAGCAATAGAATTTAACCAAATTCACCCAAAATGTTCTTCATTTTCCTAAGTTGTTTGGTATTGAAAATGGGCAAAATCGGTTCACACCGGGAAAAGTTATGAATCAAAATTTAAAACAACCTCGAAAAAATAAGCATTTTTTACACATTCTGATGCAATTTTCTCGAAAACTATGCAAGATAATTCCATGGCAATCACCATACATTCGTTTCTACACAAGATCTTAATCTCTGCTGAAAATTAATAGAATCGGTCCACAATTTCATGTACCTCCCATACAAAAGTACATATTCCCGGAAAATGGGTTTTCTGTTAATAACTTCCGTCACAATGTTAATATCTTCACAAAATTTCACAAATTAAAATTCTATGTTAATAGAATTCATTCAGAGAAAAAATTTTCTGGATCGGTCCATAATTGGACATAGCTCCCATACAAGGTCCCCTCCCGAAAATCACTTAAACGCGCATAACTCATTACTAAATTAAGATATCCATATAAAATTTGGTATAAGCATGCATAGAAATATTACTGTGAAAATTTTTTCCGATCGGTCCATAATTGGTCATAGCTCCCATACAAGGTCCCCTCCCGATAATCACTTAAACTCGCATAACTCATTACTAAATTAAGATATCCATTGGTACAAGTATTGCTTAAATGCGCATAACTCATTACTAAATTAAGATATCCATATAAAATTTGGTATAAGCATTGCCCATATGCATAGAAATATTACTGAGAAATTTTTTTCCGATCAGTCCATAACTAGTTATAGCTCCCATACAAGGTCTCCTCCAGAATAACTTAAACGCACATAACTCATTACTAAATTAAGATATCCGTTTGGTACAAGTATTGCTTATATGCACAGATATATTACTATAAAATGGTTTTACGATAGGTCCATAACTGGTCATAGCTCCATACAAGGTCCTCTCCCGAAAATCACTTAAGCGCATAACCTTTATATACATAATCGGTCATAGCTCCCATACAAGGTCCTTTTACGAAAATATCTTAAACGCACATTACTCAATTCCAAATAAAGCTATTGGTACAAAATTTGGCACAAATATTAGTTTTGTATACAAAAATTCTATTTCAAGATTTTTCACGATCGGTTCATAACTTGGTTGCCCTCGGTCCCATACTAGGTTCCCTTCAGAAAATGACTTAAACGCACATTACTTATTACTAAATTACGATATAGATACAAAATTTGACTGAAATATAACTTTTATGTACAGAAATTTAGCTTAAAGAATTTTTTACGATCGGTCTATATTTGGTCATATCTCCCTAAAAGCGTTTTAACCGTATTTAACTAGTTGAATTATCAATTTGTGTAGAACAAAATTATATATATGTATTTTTAAAATCCTTAAATCTTATACACATACATGCAAATTACTAAATATTGCTAAGCGATATAAAAATATAAAGAAAACGGCGTTTGTAATGTTCAATAAATCTTGGAATTGTAATAGATTTAAGCTGCAAATCTTGGGATTTTTCTATTTAAGACATGAGAAAACTTATTTCTACAAATACTTGATCAATTAGAAAAGTATTAATATAAAAGTAGCTGGTGGAGGGTATTTAAGATTCGGCTCAGCCGAATATAGCACTCTAACTTGTTTTTTGTTCTAGATTGGGCAAATGTGACACTGTGCAAAGGTTGAAGTTTAATATTCGGCCCATATAGTATAGAATGATAATTTGTAGACTAGGTTATGGAACTAGGTAAATTTCAAATTTCATCTAATCTCACACATACATCCTACCCAGAGACTAAGTTGACCTCCATAAAACGATTTATTTAATTGTGTAAGAATGTGTGTATTATCGACCCGGCCTATCCAAAAATCAATATAAATATACTTACAGCTGTAGCAAGCGGTTGAACCTGTTCGACTTCATATACTTACATATATTTCCAGATTTCTAGACTAACCATTTAAACATTATAAACTTAAATTTTTAAATTTTTTCTTTATTCGTGAAAGATTTTACAAAATAGTTTTTCTATATTTCGTTTATATTTGTATATTTCTTAAAATTAAACTTAAATTATACAACACTAGTTTTATTTTTATATTAAAAATCAATAAAATCGAGTATTCAGTTATAAAAAAATAATTCTTTTGCAAAAATTATAATACGAGTTTCTTTTTTCTAACATTTTATTTTTGTATTTATAATTTAAGTAATAATGACTATGATTCGATTTTTAAATTTACTTGTTTTGATTACTTGTAAAAAAAGACTCGCAAACTTAACAACACTATGAGAATTAAACTAATGAACAGATTAAATTAAAGGCGTATAGAGAGAGAGATAGGGAGGGGAAGGGAGATTGAGTTTAAATCACATTAATATTCAAATGCTAAGGAAGGTTTGGGATACGAGTAACCATTTCGCACGGGTGTAGGATATGAGAGTTTCACTTCGGGTGTGGGATATGAGTAACCGTTCTTTTGTGGTGGCTGGGTGGGTAATTCGAATTTAACTGCTGGAGTGGGATAGGAATAACCTGATTTCTGAGGAGGTTGAGTGGGTAACTCAAATTTTTGGGCAGGTGTTGGGTAAGAGTAACCGGTTTTTTGTGGGGGTTTAGTGGGTAAATCGAATTTTTGAGCAGGGGTGGGATAAGAGTAACCAGTGTTTTGTGGTGGTTGTGTGGGTAATTCGAATTTTTGAGCGGGTGTAGGGTACGAGTAACCAGTCTTTTGTGTTGGTTTGCTGGGTAATTCGAATTTTTGGGCTGGTGTAGGGTAGGAGTAACCAGTCTTTTGTGTTGGTTTGCTGGAGTAACCGGTCTTTTGTGGTGGTTGACTAGGCAATTCAAATTTTTGTGCGGGAGTGGGGTAAGAGTAACCAGTCTTTTGAGGTGGTTGAGTGGGTAATTCGAACTTTTGAGCAGGAGTGGGATACGAGTAACCGCTCTTTTGTGTGGGCTTAGTGGGTAATTCGAATTTTTGTGCCGGAGTGGGGTACGAGTAACCGCTCTTTTGTGGAGGTTGTGTGGGTATTTCGAATTTTTGAGCGGGTGTAGGGTAAGAGTAACCAGTCTTTTGTGGAGGTCGTGTGGGTATTTCGAATTTTTGAGCGGGTGTAGGATAAGAGTATCCGGTTTTTTGGGTAGGCAATTCAAATTTAACTTCAGGAGTGGGGTAAGAATAACCTGGCTTTTGTGGAGCTGGTGTTGGTCTTCTAGTAGTGGTCTGCTCAAACTTAATTGCGGGTGTTGGATAAGAGTAACCGGTCTTTTGAGGTGACTGTGTGGGCAATTCGAATTTCTGGGCGGGAGTTGGATAAGAGTAACCAGTCTTTTGTGGTGGTTGTGTGGGTATTTCGAATTTCACTGCTGGGGTAGGATAAGAATAGCCAGTCTTTTGTGTGGGCAAATCAAATTTAACAGTAGGAGTGGGATAAGAATAGCCCGTTTTTTGTGGAGGTGGTGTAGGTCTGCGGGTAGTGGTAGTATATTCAAATTTAACTTCAGGTGTGGGATAAGAGTAACCCGTCTTTTGTGTGGGCAAATCGAATTTAACCGCTGGTGTCGGATATGAATAACCCTTGGAGGGTGCTTTGGTTGGCAACTCAAATTTCACCTCTGGAGTGGGATATGAATATCCTTTGGTGGTCTGTCTAACAGGTGCTGTAGGCCTTTGTGTAGGTTTGGTGGGTAAATCAAATTTCACTGTAGGCTGTGGATACGAATAACCAGGTTTAGCCGGTGTTGGCTTGGGATAATCAAATGGTTGTTTAGGCTGTGGATACGAGTATCCCTTAGTAGGTGCTGGCTTAGTAGGTAAATCAAATGGTTTCTGTGGCACTGGATAAGAGTAGCCCGTCTTTTGTGGATACTCAAATGGCTTTTGTGGTGGATTGTATACATAACCATTGCCTACATTCTGCTGCTGAGATTCGGCTGAGAGGTAGTTTGATACTGGTTCATAGTAGTACTGTGCCCACGTTCGACTGCTGAGCGCTAACAGTAGGCATAATGTGGAAAAGTATTTCTGAAAATAAAAAACGAAGAAATAAGAAAAGGAAGATTAATTTTTAATTAATTTATTCTTATAGTTTTAATAACTGAGTGATCATTTATGTCCAAACTTATACATATATACATATATATCTCGACTGTAGGCTGATCGGTGAGGTCAATACTGATCTATAGCTATCTTGAAAAAGCTATATAGTGGACTATTTGGTGATTTATAATCTTAAATAAAGACGGATCTATTATAAGCTGATCTATAGTTTCATAAACTTACTGATCTATTGTGAGTCTACATTCTTGACTATATTCTGATTTATATTACTTTATAAGAGTTCATTGTCTTTATTACAGACTGATCTTTAGTCTTCTCTATAGACTGATGTAAAGTGCTCCCTACTAACAGATTTATAGAATTGACTATAAATTGTTCTATAGACCTGTCTATAGACTGATCTAACTGAACTATAGTATTGACTATAGATTGATTAACAAATAGTCTTTACTTTACTATTGACTATGAATTGACCCATATTCTTCACTATATAGTATTTACGATAAACTGATCCATAACCTTGACTATAGACTGATATATAATTTTAACTATATATTGATCTATAGTTTTGAGTATATAATGATCTATGGTTTTGACTATAGACAGATCTGTACTCTTTATTACAGACTGATCTATAGTCTTGTCTATAAAGTGATCTATAGTCCTGACTGATATATAGTATTGATCTGTATTCTTTACTCCAGACTGATCTATAGTCTTGTCTATATAGTGATCTATAAATTGACCCATATTTGTTACTATATAGTATTTACAATAGTCTGATATATAGTCTTTACAATAGATTGAACAGAAGTCTTATCTATACTCTGATCTATAGTCTTGACTATAGACTGATCCATAGCCTTGACTATAGACTGATTTATAGTTTTAATTATATATTGATTTATAGTTTTAACTATATACTGATCCATGGTCTTGAATATAGACTGATCTGTAGTCTTAACTACAGACTAATCTATAGTTTTTTCTATACAGTGATCTATATTCCTGAATACGGACTATAGTCTTTTCTACAGACTGATCTATAGTCTTGGGTATATACTGATATATAGTCATGACTACAGACTGATCTATATTATTGACTATAAATTAGTCTATAGTCATCACTATAAACTAATCTATAGTCTAGACAATAGACTGATCTACAGTCTTGACTATAGACTGATCTATAGTCTTGACTATAGACTGATCTATAGTCTTGTCTACAGACTGATCATAGTCCCGACTACTGACTGATCTATAGTATTGACTATAGATTGATCTGTAGTCTTTACTACAGACTAGTCTATAGTCAAGGTTAATCTCAGTCATTAGTCAGGACTATAGATCAGTATACTGATCTATAGTCCTGACTACTGACTGATCTATAGTATTGACTATAATTGACCTATAGTCTTTACTATATAGTATTTAATATAGACTGATATATAGTCTTTACTATATGTAGATTGATCAATAGTCTTGTCGAAAGACTGATCTATAGTTCTAACTACTGAGTGATCTATAGTATTGACGATACAGTGATCTACAATCTTGACTATAGACTGATCTTCATATAATTCTTACTACAGGCTGACAGTCCTGACTACTGCCTGATCTATAGTATTGACTATAGATTGAACTTGACTATAGACTTGAATATTGACTGATCTATATTCCTAACTAAAGACTGATCCCTAGTATTGTTTATATACTGATCTGTAATCTTTTCTGTAGACAAATCTTTAGTGCTGATTTTTAATCTCGAGCATTGACTTATCAATAATCTGTTTCGAATCTAACTGATCTAACTTCTTAACAATAAACCTCTATAGTTCCATTCAAAACAAATAACAAATTCTATTTCAATTTAAACTCATCTATCTTACAAAAGTAGGGTATTTGAGCTTATTAAAAACTTCCCATAAGATTTCCTATTGATTTTTATATTTTCCACCTTTTTTGTACACTCAATCTATTGTAATCAATTTTCCAAAGACTTTTCAACATTGAACTTTTCATTGACATGACGCGATGATCATCACCGTAATAATGAAGACGATGGATGAATAGGTGGATGGTTGGATGGATAGATGGATGGATGGCACAAATTTAAAACTAGACATTGATTATTTTTTGCACATTATAACGTTTGTTTTAGCGATTTTTTGAAATTGTTTATTCGTGGACTACACCGTTTTTTATCTATCGTTAACAATTTACCGGAAATTCATGTTAAATTTAAGGTGTTTGTGGTAGTGGTGGTCGCATTTGAAGATGATGATCATGAATATGATGATGGTATTCGAGTATGATTGACCGCAAACTAATGTGTGTAGATTTTTTAATATTTCACGCTCTAAGTAAACTTTTATATATTTTTCAACTAGAACAAACATAAAATAATCAAAAAAGAACAAGCTATTAGACAGCGAAACAATCACTTTAAAACAGAAATTCTTAACACTATAACTAGAAACATTAATAAATTTTAAAAACTTAGAACAAAACCATTAAAAATGTTAATATATAGCTGTGGGTTTGTTTTATTTGTTTAAGTTTTTTTTTTTTAATTATACAAAAAATATATAAAATTTTCTCGTTAAACATTTTTTTGCCTTAATTTTCCATCATAAATTTGTTCACGGTTTTGTCATACAAACATATGTTTATTTTTCAACAATTGTTAATTGTATTCATATTCGTAATTTGTTTATATGTTTTGTTGCATGTGTGTTTTTACATGTTAATACAATTTATAACAATTTATCTCAAGGTCAGTTTGAAAAAAAAAACTAACAACCTGTATCTATCTACAACAAATTGTAGACAATTTGTGCAGCTTAAAATGATATATATAGAGTCGTAAAACATCCAATACTATATGTTAGTTTTTCATGTCAAGAGTTTGTACTCATTTTAGTTGTTAATTTTCATAGACATATTTTTCTTTTAATACTTTATTTTTGTAGATTTTTATTACCAGATAATAATAAGTTTTCATTTTTTTATTTCATTATTGTGTGTCTTAAATATACGCATCGCATCACTTGTTATGCGTACCAGACAGACAGACAGATCTTAGAAGTGGGAAAATTTTTATTGTTGTTTTTTATTTCTCGTTTGAGTTTTTCTTATAAATGCTTTTTTCAACATACAGGTGTTGGAAAACAATGTCATTGTTTTTTTTTTATTTTAGGAATTGTAGGTGTTGTCTGTGGATGTTGAATTCAATTACAAAGTCTTGAATCATAAAATAATGTTTTTTTTTTTTTAATTCATATTTGGTGTTTATTTTTTTATTCAATTTTATTTTTGAATTTTGTTTGAAGTTGTGAAGTAATAGTTAAACACTTTATGGTGAATGAATCACATTGTATATTAACTTGGTGTTTGTGAAAAAAGGGCTAAACCTGGGTACTAATTATTACTAGATTGAAATATTGTCTTAACTATGAACTACTAAATAGTATAGATAGGCTTTTAAACCTGTAGTTAGGTATAAAACACTTATTTGCTGAACTCTAGTCTAAACTATTTATCACACATCACTATAAACTGATCTGGACTAATGACTGATCTATATTCTTGACTATAAACTGATGTTAATTAACTATTCAACCATATTGAATATAAACTAATCCCTAGTCTTCTATATATACTGATCAATAGCCTTGACTATATATTGATATGTAGTCTTGCATATTGACTGATCTACAGTATTGATAGAGGACTTATCTATAGTCATGACTAAAGACTGAACCATAGCATTGACTATAAACTGATCTACAGTTATTAATATAGACAGTATTGACTAATGACTGATCTATAGTCTTGACTATAGACTGATCTACGTTCTTGATAACAGACGCATCAATATTCTTGATTATAGATGTGAATATACATATTATTGACTATTTACTGATCTATAGTATTGACAAAAGACTGTCTTTATTCATACTATAGTCTTGACTATAGATTATAGACTGATCTATAGACTGACCTATAGTCTTGATTATAGACTGATTTATAGTCTTGATTATAGACTGATCTACAGTCTTGACTATAGACTGACCTACAGTCTTGACTATAGACAGATTTATAGTCTTGACTCTAGACTGATCTATAGTGTTGACTATAGACTGATCTATAGTCTTGTCTATAGACTTATCTATAGTATTGACAATAGACTTATCCATAGTATTGGCTATAGACTTATCTATAGTCTTGAATATAAACTTATCTATAGTCTTAACTTTAGACTAATCTATAGCCTTTACTATAGACTGATCAATAGTCTTGACTATGGACTGATCTATAGTCTTGACCATAGACTGAACTATAGTCTTGACTATAGACTGATCTATAGTTTTGACTATAGATTGATCTATAGTCTTGACTTTGGACTGATCTATAGTCTTGACTATAGACTTATCTATAGCCTTGACTATAAACTTATCTATAGTCTTGGCTATACACTGATCTATAGTATTGACTATATACGGATCTATAGTCTTCAAAGTAGACTGACCTATAGTCTTGACTGTAGACTGATATATAGTCCTGACTATATACGGATCTATAGTCTTCACAGTGGACTGACTATAAACTGATCGATAGTCTATATGATTATAGACTGATCTATAGTCTTGACTATAGATTAATCTATAGTTTTGACTATAGACTGATCTATAGTCTTGACTATAGACTGATCTATAGTCTTGACTATAGACTGATCTATAGTCTTGACTATAGACTGATCTATAGTCTTGACTATAGACTGATCTATAGTCTATATGACTATAGACTGATCTATAGTCTTGACTATAGACTGATCTATAGTCTTGACTATAGACTGATCTATAGTCTTGACTATAGACTGCTCTATAGTTTTGACTATTGACTGAATTATAGTCTTGACTATAGACTGATCTATAGTCTTGACTATAGACTGATCTATAGTC